GGTTTGTGTCAGGTGAACCAGGCTCGCCTGACGCCTCCCGTAGTTTTTATTTAGGTGTTTGGTCTGATCTTCCATTTTTTCCAGCCCCTAACTCCCTGCTGGGGTTATTCTGACAGCTTTGGGGGTTTGGCCCTGAACGCCAATCCGGCTCTCAGGCATTCCACTGCCCGCTCTGTGTGCACAGAGAGATCGCAGAGCGCTCTCAGCGACTGCCCCGGAGCTTGTGGCTGAGGGGAGCTCCCCAAAACCTCTAAAAACTGCAAAATAAAGCAGGTGCTGTTGTGGAGCAGCTCATTTCCCGCCCCCTGGCTCCAGACGGTGAAGGCTTTAGGAAATACCGACGGGACTTGAATTTTCCATGCCCCGTCCCTGCCAAGATTTTACAGAGCCTTGAGCACATTTGGTTCTGCAATTCCAATGCTAAAGGGAAAAGTAAGATTGCCTTCAAAACTCCGCTCTTGGCCAAGTGTGCAAGAGGAATGAGGGAGCCGCGCCAGCGCCCGCGCTCCGCGATGGATCGTGGTGGGTGAAGCCATCTCCTAAAAACCCAAATTGCTTCGGAGGCGCGGCTCTCGGTTTGCCAAAGCCCAAGGAAATTTTCTGTGCAGTTTTTGCCGTTGGTCACGGCTGAAAGAGCCTCTTCCCTGGCAGCCGGTTATTTCTGTGCTTAAAGCCTTGGCTTTTGGGGACAACGACACCATTTGTGTGGGGGGGGTTTCTCTGTGCTCGTAGGCTTTTCTCCGGTGGCTAATCCTGGTCCTGAGCCGGTTCCCCGGTCGTGCTCAGAGGGGCTGCTTGCACCTCAATGCCTGCGAGAGCTCAGCCTAGGTGTGATGTTTAAGGCGCGATTAACTTAAGCTTGGCTTTAAAAAGCTGCGTGTATGTTTGTTTATTTATTTTTTTCTTTTTTTTATTGAGACTGTGGAGTTACCAGAGAGTTGGGCTTGGGGTTGAGTCGGGGAGAAACACGATTGTGGCTCCTGGGAGCCCTGAGAACCTGGCCCTGCCGGCGTGGGGCGTCTGCTGTCCAACATCCGCTGAATAATTTGGGAGGGTCAGAAAGGCAGCAGGAGGGAATGAAGTCTTTGGTGGCCGATTCCTCCGGGAATACCATGAAATACTGGAATTGCGGGGGTGGAGGCTGCCCGCGGCTCCCCCAGACCAGGAGGACCAGGAGGAATGTCTCTGCCCGCTCTTGCTGCTGAAGTTTGATGTTAAGAAATGCTTGGGCCAGTGTTTTCCCTGCAGCGCCTGGAAACCTGGTGGTTCGGAGTCTCCATGGAACCAGCCTCTGATTGCAGCCGGGCTGGGAGAAACACAAAGCCCCCTAAGGAATCCGTAAAGTGTGAGGGGCAAATCCCTGTTCTGGAGTTGCTTCCAGGGGTGGAAGGCAGCGAGGGAGACTGTGGTCTCTGCCGTGCCGGTGTCTCTGTTTGTTGTCGTGTCCTCAGCGTCACGTGAAGTTCCTGAGTGGGAGCTGTTGGTGTGGGGGGTGTGGAGGAAACTCTGCAACCCGAGCTCTGACGGGTTCCCCTTCTTGCCACTTCCCAGCTGATATGGGGGAATTTGTTGCCCCACGTTTGTTAATCCCGGCGTGCGTTGGGAATGGATTTATTTTGCTCTTGCTCATCCCTTTTGGCATCTCTTACTGTGGGGTGAAGAGGAGGGTTTACGCCAGAGGCCTGTTTGGCAGCGCTCCAGCCTGGGCTCGGGAATGCTCTCCAGGCCTGGAGCGTGTCTGGATCCTTAAGCCGCAGGATGTTCCTTAGCTTTGATCGGCCTGGCAGGTCGGTGGGGTGTGTGCAGGCCGGACAGCCTCCCCGCGCCGCTGCCGCCATGCGTGGGATGGGCGTGAGGGCCCCAAGCACAGGGTAGAAGCTCGCTGCCTGCGAGCAGCTGCTCATCAGGCTTTATTGGGGCAGATCCGTGGCTCAGTGGCATTTTGCTTTCTGCTAAATCACCAAAGAGCAAGTTCAGCCCGAGGACATGAGCCCCTCGCCGTGGCCACAGGGCTATGGGTGCCCCCCCGTTGCCCGGTGAAGCTGGAGGGGTTTGGGTGGTGGCTGCAGCTCTGCATAGGTGCAGGATCCGGCCTCTCCCCGAGGGAAACCCCCGGCTCAGCCACATCCCCACTTTGCAAACATGGTGACGGGGTCGTGGGGAAGGGTTTCGGTCCCCCCAGAGCACCGGGGACTGGTGATTCCCCCCTCATTGCTGCGCCAGCACCCCCGCAGCTCTCTGGGCCGCACGCAGCTCCCGCAGACCCGGGTGCCCTTGCAGACACCAACGCTTTGTGTTCGCAGCGTGCAGGAATTCATGACCTTCACCAGCCAGCTGATCGTGGAGCGCTCGGCGCTGGGCAGCAGAGCCTCCGTCAAGGAGCAAGGTGAGAGGATAACCTGGGGGTCAGCACGCGCAGCCGCACGGAAGGGGAGGTTACGGGAGGAACAGGGACCTGCCCGGCTGCTGCCTTCAGGCTTCCTTGCTCTCCTCGGGACACCCGGAGCTGTTGGGCTGCGTGCCCGCCGCCCTCCGCTTGCCCGGCTTGCTCTGGCCCGTGCAGCAGCTGCGATCCAAGGGGCAGCCGCGCTGGCGCAGCCTCCTCTCCCTCAGGCTCTGCCCTGCAATTCCAGGCTCCTACCGCTGTCCCTGGCCTCCCCCCCACCTCCGCTGGGCTCCGCGTTCCAAGCCCTGGGACGCGCAGGGTGTGGCCTGGAGTTGGCTGCTGCAGCCTCTTTAATGACGACGCTCCGCCCAGTGATGAGTTGTTATTTATTATAATTAAGCTGAGCGCTTCCCCCTCTGGTTTTTGTTTAACTTTGTGCTGCCCTGGGAAATTAAGCGTCGTGCCCCGTGGCCGGGCTGCGGTAACCCGCTGGAGTGCAGTTTGGTGCTGATTTTGATCCTCCCTTGAGCCCTTCCCTCTCTTCCTAATGAAATAATGTGAAATGCTGTCCCGGAATGAAACCTTCCAGTGCAACTCGTGGGTCGGGGAAGAGCTGCCGGGGCCAGGGGGGGGGCGGTGGCTGCTGGGGGAGCCTCTGCACCTTCCCGCTGCCTCTCTGACACGAATTCTCTGCCCAGAGTACCTCTGCCACGTGTACGTCCGGAACGACGGGCTGGCCGGAGTGGTGGTTGCAGATACCGAATATCCGCAGCGGGTTTGCTTCACCTTGCTGGACAAGGTGAGCGTGCCGGCCGGGAGCAGCTCTGGAGGCGACGGCTTGCGGCGGGGCTGCTCCAGGGAGCTCCTCCAGATCTCCTGCTGGCTCTGGGATAAGGAAATGACCTTCCTGCTCGTTAGCTGGGGGACATCAGAGCCGAGCTCAGCAGGATCCGACCAGCCCAAAGGCTTCCAGGCCGTGCAGTGGCTTTGCCCATTAGGACTTAATCCTGGCTCTGCTGCCAGCCCAGGCATTGGCCTCACGAACGCCCCCTCCTCCCTGCCTGGCGCACCCGGCATTGCCAAAAACCAGTGACGACGTCTCGGCTGGTCACCGGGGCTTCGGGGACAGTCGGGCACGGGCGGCCCTTCCTGGCCGCGGAAACCATCTTGCGTG